GGTCCAGACTGTGTCAGCCCCAGAGTCCTGAAGGCCTGTACAGACCAGCTCTGTGGGATTCTGCAACACCTCTTCAACCTTAGCTTGACCCAGGAAAAGGTGCCAGTGTTGTGGAAGACATCCTGTCTGGTTCCAGTACCAAAGAAAACTCAGCCATCTGCCCTCAATGACTATAGACCTGTTGCCCTGACATCCCACATCATGAAGGTCCTAGAGAGACTCCTGTTGACCCACCTGAGTAAGCAAACAAGCACACATCAGGACCCCCTGCAGTTTGCTTATCATCGTGGGGTTGGAGTTGACGACGCCATCATACACCTGCTTCAACAAACCCACTGTCATCTGGACAAAGCAGGCAGCACTGTGAGGATCATGTTCTTTGATTTCTCCAGTGCTTTTAACACAATTCAGCCTGAGTTGCTTTGTCTGAAACTCCAGAAGACTCCGGTGGAGGCCTCAACAATTACCTGGATCAAAGACTACCTGACAAACAGGTAGTCTTTGATCCAAAGACTAAAGATAAATTAAGTACATCTAAAATATAGATATTAAGGGAAATGCTTCTTTAAACCGAGTGGTTGGGATGGGATCTAACAGACATGTTGATGGTTTGGATGAAGCTATTATTTTAGATAATTCAGCCAGCTCAACAGGACAAAAACTGTCCAAACATAAATCAGGTTCTAGTGACACTAAAGCTGCCTCATCTGACAGAGAATCAGAGACAGTAGCAGGAAGATGGGCATGAATTTTATCCCTTATTAAAATTATTTTATCTATAAAGAATCTCATGAAGTCATCACTACTTAAAGTACAACAAACAAGAACAAAAAGAGAAGTTGTTTGGCAGATAAGATTTGGTAAATTTTTCATGTGTTCAACCCACATACAGTATTCAGCTCTACTGCTCATCCCATAAATGCATCCATCCATTTTCTGTATGTTCCTTGCAAATGTGGCTCCATTTAACAGAGAAATTAACAGACTTTTAATGGTGTGATTTATGTTTATTTATACGGTTAACACTTTCACATGATTTGTGTTATTTTTACCGATCATTTATCAAAATATCTGAGTCAGATGAGAATAGTATGAAACGACTTATAGCATGTGTAACTTTTGAATTTATTTTCCTTTTCTTAAAAAAAAAAACAGAACACAAGACCCAAAGAAATTCATTCAGATCTCTCTAGTTTTTTTGAAAACACTGTTCTCTGCAGTGTACTTCAGCAAAACCGCTCTAGTCTCATATTTGTGTGCTATGTTTAGCTTTTGTCCTCCATCTTGCTAAGTTTAGCTTTTATCCACAGTTTTGCTAATCTTAGCTTTAAGGTAAGGTTTGGAGTCAATTGTTTTATGTTACGTTATTTAGCCATGGTTTTTGCTCATTTTAGCTTTGAGCTTCTGTTCTGCTCATTTTTAACTTTAACAACTCAATGAAAAAAAAGGATGCAAAGTCTCCTGTTGGTGTATTTATAAAGAAAGATCTTGAAGATGTTCAGGGCTAAAATTAGTGCTGTAAAAAAGTCATTACAGCATAATTAATTGTTGACATCTCTTGGCAAGGCACTGCTCTTGGAAACTGGTTACGGTAAGTTAGGATTCTGGACATCCGTGTGAATGATGGCGTAAACAAGCCGAGGCCTCGTGGTCAGCATAAATCTGACAGACTGCTGAAAGGATGCAGCGTGTCTCGTCCTGCTGTCTAAACCCGGGACAGTAAGAAGACATGGCGGATTCGGGGTGTGTGGGGAGACAGCTGACTGGATTGTCTTCCGCAGCTTCAGACGGCCACACAGCTGACATTTACTGAAGCTGCCTCGGTGAGACGTCAACACAGAGAGCAACGTCAGAAAGGCGGTGTCAAATTCACATTTTTTCCGCCGCTGTCTTTATGAAATGCGGTCGCTCACGTCAGGATGTCACACACTGAGCTGCGAAATGAAGAAGCTTTAAAAAAAGAAGTTATTTTTTTTTATAAACGTGTGTTTGATTATTTTGAGCCCAGCCTCTGTCACACTCAGTAACCACAGGGTCGCAGCTTTATCACCTTTCTAAATTTAAACCTAAGCTTCGACTCTCCCAGAATGGAAGTTGAGCCAGGCCCTTGTGTGACCTAAAATTAGCCCCCATCTACCCCCCCTCAAGAAAGAAGATTTTTGGCCCCCCATTGTCAGTTACTATACACACATATGCAGAGCACATACTGGACGTTTCCCAGCTCATAGCAGACGCTTCATACTCTGGAGGATCTTTCCTTCCTTAAGGATTGAAAGTGGAACCCTGGTTCTTTGGACGTCGAAGTTAAGGTAGGTGTCCTGTTACCTCCAATTCTGCCTGTGGAAACCTTCAGGGTTTACAAAGTAAATCCTGCCGGCGTCACTGCAGATGGAGCGGGTTTGACTTTYGGGAGCATGGCTCTGGGACAGGCGGTGGACATGAGCTTGATGGACATCTCGAAGATCTTCTCGCTGCTCCAGCCGAAGGAGGAGGACGAGGACGGCGAGCTGTGTCAGGCCCTGAACAAGGCCGTGAGCAGCGACGACGTGGCCCTGCTCACCGAGCTCCTCGCCCAGGAGGAGTACCGGAGGCGCATCAATGCCCGGAGCGGGTGGGGGGTCCCCGTGACCCCGCTGCGCACCGCTGCTGCTTTGGGACACCTGAGGTGCCTGGAGCTGCTGTTGGAGCACGGTGCTGAGGTGAGGTCAGGCACGGACACAACCTTAGCTGCTCGCCGAACCCTCATTTTCTGCATCGTTTCTATTATTTTGATTCATTTATTAGCAAAAAGGAGATAACAAATTTGTGCAATTGAGCTGAAATAATTTATTTTTTATAAAAAGCCAGGTCTCTCTTTAAGTGGAYTCATTTTTCTGAGTCAATGAAGAATCAGCAGTTTTAGAGCGCCCCTCGGTGGCATCCAGGAGCACAGCTTAATACTGTATATTAAAGGGATTGTTCTGTTTATTTTAAGTGAGGTTCTACAGAACGATTCTGAACAAACAATATGCTACCTGTTGCAGTCATTTTTGTGAGGATCAAAGAGTTAAAGGCTAATCAGGCTAAAATCGATTGATTCTGTTGTAAATTTTAATGTTTTTTTTAATTTTAGTCAAGCTATTATCTAGGGATGTGAAGAGACACTGATTATGCGACTGCATGTAGTTTTAGGATTAAATCTAGATGCATCTGGTTATTAAGTTCTGACAAAGGTCAATCTGTTGCAGCCACACAAAAAAAGTTAAAGTGTACTTATGGATGACAAACGGATTCTGTCTTTTAATAGACCTTAGGGGTAGGGGGTCAAAGTTATTCAGTAAAAACAAACCTGGATGAGGTGAAATGTGTCAATTCACAGTGGTTTTTACAAGCAACGGATCTATATTAAAAAGGGCAATTTTAAATTTTTATTTGTAAAAATATTTAGTTCTGTAT